GGATATAGCTCGCTCACACCGAGGACCTATCCACATCATCATTTACCCAGAATGCTTTGTGTGTAAATAAAATGGACACATGCATCTAATACGTTTTTAAACTTTTAGTTTAAAAATTATAAAAACTAAACAGCCTACAGTATTTTTACAGTCATTATTTTACAGTTAAAATATGTTTATCAAATAAAGTCTAATGTTACAAATAATCATGGATCCCTTTAAAACCCCGACGAATAATCAGGAAATATTCAGTTAGATGTTGAAATTATGTTATGACTGAAACTTCACGTCAGAAATGAAACTCAACAAATGGGAATCGTGTGAACGGAGGATAGAGGCGAGTTTGTGTTTTCTCACATTTGGCTGCGGTCTTGTGGGAGCAGCTTGAAACTGAACTCGCTGAGGATCTCCAAGAAGGTCACATTAGGAAGTTCCTCCCCTTCATCCTCGCTGCCTCGAAATGCAAAACGTATACCGTCCCTGATGGCAAACACCAAAAGGCTTAAAGCCACCAACAAAAACAGTGCCAAACTTTATTCAAATGCTTCTATCTCATCTTATTCTATCTGTTTAAGTTTTTTTAATTAACAATCAACTCTGATTAAAGGTTGCCAAAAAGAAAAGAACGGCGGTACTGACGTGTGCAGGGCCACCAGCGGTTTGCGGATACGATGAAGATCCACGCCGAAGCTCATGGCAAGCCGCTTGGCCAGTTCAAGTATTTCAGGGAGAGCCTGCTGATTTTGATCCTCTGTGAGCATCTCTGAGAACAGCTGAGCACAGAGACACGACTTTTACACGAGTTGCTTTGTGAAATGGTTACATGTTTCAAAAGATACAGTATGAACACACACTGCAGTGATTTTCAGGTTATTAAAAAAACAAAACAAAAAACAAAACAAACTTGGTCCATTTTCAGGAGGGTTCTGAAAGGTCATAAAAAGTCATAAATTTATTCATCTTCATTTTAAGCCCTAAAAATGTCCAGATTTTTCATTTTAGGTCCTAAAATCCATTTAGTTTTTTCATACATGGCGTCGTGCGGTGTGGAATGTCAGCATTCATTTGTTCTTTGTGTTGCAGTTTTGTCTGAGGATCTGAAATGTAGCAAAACTGAAAACAGCCCCGTTGGAAGGAAGGTTGTGACAGACTTCAAGACTTAATCAAGAAAGAATCTTGTAAATGAGAGAGTGAGTCTCAAGAGATTTTCCTGTATAAAGAAAGGATAAAAAAATTAATAAATCTGACTGCTTGGCTTCTGAAACCTGGTTGTTGTTTTTTTGTTTTAATTAAAGGCAATTAAATCTGGAACTCTGAAATAAATTTTACAGTGACTAGGGCTGGGCGGTATGACTTCAAATTTATATCACGGTATAAACTGAATCCCTTCACGGTACCTGTATATACCACGGTAGAAAATTATCATAAGAAGCAAAGATAATGTAATTTTTAGTGCATTTATTTTGCAGAAAACTAATCATAATCAAACCCAGCATTTTTGCTTAAGTGCAAGTGAACATAACAGAAGTACAAAAGATTGTTTTATACATATTGCAAAATGGTTTCAACAACAAACAAAAACATTTCTCAAATTTTCAACAAGATCAAAATAAAGTGGATGTTATAACCAGTACTTCAAGTAACATTAGTCCTTTAGACATAAAAAATATTATAAGTTGGCATAAGTTTTCTAAAATGTTATAGTGGGACAGGACCTTAAGGGGCTTAAGCTGCACATAGTCCTAGTCATAAAACAATTTCAGATAACTAGAATGTAAGTGTGGTGAAGCCAAATAAATGTAATATCAGCCTGCCATACAGCCTGCCTGTTGAACTTAACGGCTGCTGCTCTGCGCTCTCAGAGCAGAAGAACGTTACATTAGCAAGACGGATTTATGACTGAACAAACATCCACATCTTTTTTATCATCTTTGAGGATAACAATACATAAAAAACAAGTTTTTTTCTCCGACAACTCGGGTGTGAAAAAACTACAGTTGTTAATGCTTCGCTCTGTGCAACGTGCAGCAGCAGGGAGGAAATGATCCCACCACACGACATAACCTTTCCACAGCAGGAGGGGAAAATTTTGAGGATTTATTCTCTCTATATGTATTTTAAAATGCTGTATTTCTTCATTTATTTTCAGAATATTTCAAACTTCTGCTCAGTTGTCTTTGCACTTGCAGCCTAGTTGACACAGGTGTGATGATGTAACTGACGACAGGACGGTAGAGGGTAAATTTCTACCGTAGGCCAACTTCAAATGGTTTCTACTGTCTATCACATACCGTGCAGCCCTAACAGTGACATGATTTTCCTGTAATGTAAGGTCTTAAAAATATCTTCGATTTATCGTACTGAAACCTGCAGAAACCTTGATTTTAGAAACCTTTAATACCAAACAAAAATTTCTCATCCAATCTGATTTCTCATTAATATTTTTGGAAAAGATGTTGTAAAAGGGCTTT